TTTTTGGATACTACTTTGGAATAGGTTCTTAATGAAATTTTTATTTTTTCTAATGATTCTTTTTTTATATGCTCCGGAGACAAGAAACGGTTGAGGATAAATAGAACGATCATGGTAAATCGCTAATAATCATTCATAAAGTGTGACCGGAAATGTGAAGTTGGACTAGGTATTTTTGATCAGGTAGATGGGAATTCAAAGTATTTCCAATTTTTTATAAATAATTTTTTTTCACTTTCAGATAATAAATCAATTGTTATTTCCATCAGACAGGTGATTTTTCCAGAAACGGCATGATAAGTATCTTGAGGTATTTGTTGAAATGGATTAAATTTTAAATAAGAAAAAGGTGAAAGTTGAATACTTATTCTATGTCTCGTCACAAAATCTTTTTTTTCTTGTACACTTTTTAATAAATTATATTGTCGTCGTAATTTTTTTATCTAATGAAAATAACGGGCATTTTGAAGACGATCATAATTTTTATCAGATAATTGTTCTCGAGGTACAAGGCAATTGCGATACCCATGATTTGCGCCATATCATTTTATGCTACAGAGATCATTTCCTTAAGGTAAGTCTACTGTAACAGCTCCTAAATCACCTATTATTAAATATTCTATATTATTGATCTTCATTGGTATTCCTTTTTCTAACAACTGAATATCTCTTATAAAGGGTTTTATGAATTCATTAAATGAAGTACCAAAAGGAACGAATCTAATAACAAAATAATTTTTTAATAATTTTCACAAGTCAAAAAGCATATTACCAACTTTGTACATATACACCACCTAGGGAATGATAAACTGTATGGTATGTCCTGAAGTCATCAAAGTAGAGGTCCAAAAAAATTTTTTTTACTGAAAGATCTTTAGAATTTCATGGTTCTTGGATATATTCCAAAGGAAGGAAATGACGAAATTTTATGTACCTTGTTGTTCAAGTTACTTCTGTTTTAGATTTTTTATATAATATTTCCTTTATTATATGATTATTTTGATTATTAATATATTCGTCATTATCATCAAATAAGATTTCCTGAGGGGTCACTAAATTTTTTGGTAAAATAAAAATAAATTGATTTTCATAAAGCCATAATATATTATTTAAAAAAATTTTTTTTTTTGTAATGTTTGTAGAAGTTTGTGAAATTTCAAATATATTTCTACTTTTATTAATATTTCTTTATCTTCATTATGAATGATAACGCGAATTTGTCCAAAGAATATTTTTTCATTATTAATATTGGATTTAAAAATTATAGAAGTTCCAGTATAATACATTTCTAATAATAAATATAAATAATTAATACAATATAAATAATATAAATAATTAATTATAATAATTATAATAATTTTA